ACCTCTAGGAGATCGACTCATTGCACCTTCTTTGTCTCATGACATAAAGTGGAATGATCACCGTATTTGACGACATATAAGAGGCACGGATGTATAAGACGCACCGGTGTATCGGACGCATCCCAATTTCAGCAGGGCACATCACAAAAAATTAGTAATTAGTAAAATTAGTAAAATTATTAGGAAATGCCACAGCCTAGGCTATATTTATGAGGTATTATTTTGGTTGAAAAATTCATGATTACAATTATCGAAAATAACAGGAAAAAAAAGAACACGGGCCTATGAAAATATTATAATATCCAAAGGTAAGAAAACAACATAAAAGGGAAGTAATTATTACAATTGCGCAAAACAGTACAGTTGCCATTAAAATTTTATTCATCTTCAAATCCATAAAATTAGTTAACTTCGTTATCAAAATTCTGATACTCATTTTCAATACTACTATCATCGTCGTTAAATAATGCGTCATCTAATTTCGTCCGACTATCGTGAATTTTAAGCCTACATAAGGCATATAAGACGCAGGGGAATTTTAAAAGATATTTTTAGTAAAAACAAAGTGCGTCTTATATACCGTCAAATACGGTACATTGAATCAATTGTTAAGTTTACTGCTAGGAAAATTAGTTCACTGTAGTGAAAGATACTTTTTTTCTCTCCATCGTCCAACTTGCACATTTATAAATCTACGTTTTTTAAAGTTTAAATGGTAAAGCAGCTAAAGCGACTTGGAAGACTCATCGAGATAATTGGAAACACTCTACATCGATAATCGTTTGGATTAGCCAGCCTGAGAGCATTTCTAATTAAGCAACCTCTACAATGTTAAATTCTGCTTTTATCAAAACCTGTCACATTATAGGATTGGCATGAAAGAACGTTTTATAACATTATCACAGTCAGTATTGAGAATGTTGGGCTTTGTGCATTTTTACTCTAGCGTCACTTTGTTTTCCTGCTAATCTCTTATAATAACAAGGAATAGAAATATCCGTAAAAATTTAACGGTTTGTATAATTTGAATTTTCTGATAAATCTTAGTAATTAAGTTAATGATTGAATAATTTCATGGCGAGTTCTACGGCAATAAAATATCCGTCGACATTCCCCTAATGCATCATTAAATATTAGAGCTTAACAGCTTTAACAAAATATTACAATAAGTATGATAAATACAAATGCTAGTCGTTATTTAAAAATGTAAGTGGGTACAAATGAAAAGATTTGAAAGTAACTTTTTCTATTTCATTGAAACAGCCATTAAACGCGTAAAAGTGTTATGGCCTCTTTTATCTCCTCATCTTTCTTTCCTTTTTATCCTTTCTTTCTTTCTTTCTTTCTTTCTTTCTTTCTTTTATTTTATCACTGAAACCAAGTACATCATTTACCTTATTCGGACTATTGTTCTCATCTTTGTCGCCATATTTATTACAACGTTTCGGCCGGAGCGTACAACGGCTGAAACGTTGCAATAAATATGGCAACAAAAATGAGGACAATAGTCCGAATAATGTAAACAGTGTACATAATACTTTATCTCAGGAATATAGACAGATACTGAAGCGTCGAAACGTTGTGATAAATATGGCCACAAAGATGAGGACAATAGTCCGAATAATGTAAATTGTGTACATAATAACTCATCTCAGGAATATAGACAGATACTGAAGGACCGAGACGTTCTGATAAATATGGCAACAAAGTAGAGAACAATAGTCCTAATAATGTAAATAATTATCATAATAGCTCATCTCAGAAATATAGACAGATACTGAAACCAAGTAGTGTCGCTAATATGTCTTTTCCGTCTTTCCTCGCGATCAAATCCGAACAGTACACTATTTATGAGGAAATGACAAGGCGTGGCGTAAGCAAGGAATTAAAGGAAGGACAAACAAAATTAAAATAAGATATCTAATATTTTCCTGTATTCATATGCACTTGCACGTTCCTGAATGTGTCAGAGCTTATGAGTGCTTTTCAAATCCGAATTACAAGAATTAGTACAACGTATGTTTTTGTATGAAATGCTGACGTCTCTTTTTATAGATGTGCATGAAAGAAAAAAAAGATATGGCCAGGCTTACTCAATGCACGTCTATTTGGTGTTCTTTTTTTTTTCTCGATGTAAAAATGTCTGATGATCTAGTGAGATAAACGCTTTTACAAGTTAAGAGGGCGAGCAGGCAACCAGATATTTGACACTTAATAAATTGAAAAAAAAAAAAAATACAAACATTCAAAATAAATGCCGATCTCAAACCTGGCCACTGCAGAATTTTCGACATGATTACATCATCATCAAATTTCGTTTTATTTTTTTTGTAGAACGCATATTTTAGAAATTAAATGAAATTATTGGACATCGTTAACTTTAGAACAAGTCGACATTCATTAGCTGTTCACTGAGAAACCAATTCCATAACAGGACAATGCCAAATGAAAACAAATTTTCTTTGGAAGATAGTGTTACTACAGATACAAGGATATTTTTTAAACTAATTATGTGCAGGATGAATTGATTTAACTCCCCACCACGTGCCCACCTAACATTCCAGACATATACAGCAGTTAACATAAACACTCACAGATGTCCTCTCTCTCTCTCTCTCTGTCTCTCTCTCTCTCTCTATATATATATATATATATATATATATATATATATATATATATATATATATATATATATATATATATATATATATATATATATATATATATATATATATATATATATATATATATATATATATATATATATATATATATGTATATATATATATATAAATTGGACGTCGTCGAATTCGACGTCCAAAGGTCAAGCAGATCAGTTCTAAGAAACTGACAGTCCAATACCAGCACATGAGATTTGATAATAGTGATGAAGGTTTTGTGCAGAACCATCCACACTTTTTGAAGGGCCGAAATACAGAGACTTTGTGCACTACGTGCCACAGGGTCCCCAAACGACCCTTCGCAGGTTTTCGAGGCTCGGTGGCGTAATGGATAGCGGCTTGGATTGAGGAATCGGACAGCCGAATTCGAATTCCAGTCGAATCTATTACATTCACTTACGTGCTAATACCCCTCTTCTACTCCCTCCAGCCGGACAGACTGGGTTCTATAGCGTTGGATAGCAACTGGTCTAGGAGAAGGACAACTCTGATATATATATATATACACACATATATATATATATATATATATATATATATATATATATATACAGTGTAACCCGGATATAAGAGAAACCCTGATATAAGAGAGATTTTCTCTGGTCCCAAATTAGAGCCTGTGTTAATGTATATAAAATAGACCAAACTCGGATATAAGAGAAACCCGGTTATCAGAGACTTCTTCTCCGGTCCCGTCAATTCTCTTATATCCGGATTACACTGTGTATATATATATATATATATATATATATATATAGATAGAGAGAGAGAGAGAGAGAGATTAAATAGATACCGTGTGGACATAGGGATCAACACTGTATGGTGACTGTTAGTTTCAAGCCTCATTCCAATCTTCAGGACAAAGACCATTATTATTTTAGCGGGTTGTAATGGTAATTGAGGAAAACGAACCAGTCATACGATATTAAGTATTTTTCCTCATTAAATGTAGAAAATTCTTTCTTTCTTTCTTTCTATCATACAATAATAGCTAACAACTCGTATTCAAGGATACCTGTCTATTAGGGCAGCTATGCAATCACTATTGCAGATGCTCGAGCAGACACATTTTTCGTGTTTGGGGAGACCTTAGTTACACTTTCTGGGAGAGAGCGTGTTATCTGGCGTCGTCAACAATCTGAACAAGGTCAGTACACTCAAACTCTCGGTCACAATGACTTGTTTCGTCTTTCCAATTTCTCTCAAACCGTAGTACCGTTTATCAACTGTGGTGAGATTCGAACCCAGGTTTCATGGCCAGAAAGGGAACGTTCTAAACACTCGGCCACGCATATATAATATCTCTCTATACATAAATAAATAAATATATGTAATATTGGATTTTTATTGCTTTAAACGTTATACTATGTGGGTACACATGTTTGTGTCGACCTCCATTTTTTTTATTTTATTTTTTTCAACATTGAAATTAATGTTAACCGGCCTAGAGATGAAGAGATCTGATATGCTGTATTAGATTGGCAGATAGGTCTTCTTTTTTTTTTACAGTTGAAATAGTTAGACGTAGCCGTAAGTTCTATGCTAGGAGTTCTTCTCTTGCACTTATCGCTTGCGGAACTGACTTCTGGCTTATTGCCTTCCAGTCAACTTTCATCGTCAGACATTTAAATCCAATGACTTTTAGTCATAATTTCTGTTCTTTTATTGTTCTTTTTTTCTGAATAATTTTCTTTCTTTTTCTCGCGTTCATTCACACTCAGTAACAGTAGTTTTTAGTGGATTTATTGCTTTGCTTTGAGGTGAAATGAATGTGACCAGGCGCAAACTTGGGAAATGTTAGTGCACAATGAGTGCTAGTGGTGATAAAAAACTGATCGATGTACAAAGAGTAATTATACATTTTGTTCCACACCCTGCGCACAGATTTTATACACGACTTTCATACACGATGCAATCGTTGGGTGCAGACTGAAAACTGACCGGTATTTAAAATTTTTCTACACCATATTTAATTTTCTTATGAAGCTGTAATAAATCTTATCCTCTGATGAAACTTCAATAAAAGCGAAACATGATAGATTTATAAAAGTTTCTTATCTGTTCTTTATTCTATCATATATATATATATATATATATATATATATATATATATATATATATATATATATATATTAATCATTTTTGTACTGTACCTTTTCGTTTGATTTTGTTTATTGACCAACTTATCTACTCTATTTTTATAAACTATATGAAGAAGACGTGGATTCTTTTTTTATTTTATATATATATATATATATATATATATATATATATATATATATGAGCATATCAGCATATTTTCCCTTTCTATTTTTGTTCATGTCTATTAAATATTTTTTATCTATCTATCTATCTATCTATCTATCTATCTATCTATCTATCTATCTGTCTGTCTGTAAATCTACACTATTTTATAAACTATATGAAGCACACGTGGATGAGCATATCTATCTATCTATATATATATATATATATCTATCTTGATCTGTTCTAATCAATGTACTTTACTATGTTCATTATCCATCTATCTATCTATTTATCTATCTATCTATCTATCTAAGTTGATCTGTTCTTATCTATCTATCTATCTATCTATCTATCAATCGTCGTATTTGTGTCTTTTCATTGCCTGTCCATTATCTACTCTTTGCACTTGTATAATTAGAATATTTTATCTAGAAAATTTTAATCATTTAAATCAAAATACACTCATTCACAACGAAACATTTTTTCCTTTTCTTTCTTCATTTCCTTCCTTTCTTATTTTCCTTCTTAATTTTCCATTTTTTTTTCTCCTGAAATCACAGATCTTCATTCTCATTCTAATATTTCCTATCTTGGTCAAAGCCTGTTTGGCTACTTCCTTATTAGCACAACCTTCCTTATTCTTTATAAGGAAATTCTACTCATTTCATCTATTAGAAGAGATGACATCATAAGATATATGAAAACCTCTTCCCGCCACCCTCCAAAAAAAAAACGAGGCTTCACTACACAATTCAAAATGTCTGAGTTAAATACATGCGACTCGGATGTAATCATTACACAGAAATGGAATGAATGTGGTCACCGGTAAAGTATTTTTGGTAGGCATCAGGCCAAATTTAGTAATGATATGAAAGGAACAATAGCCAGCCTGATAAGATGATGCTATTAACAGCATCTGTTATTATTATTATTTGATTTAGTTTTAGCTTTTTGGTGATGTTTTGTTTGTTTATCTCTTCGTCTCTTTCTTGACGATTGAATAAATATAGTGGTAAAGATGGTCTTGTTATCGTAGAGAAAGACTTGGAACAGAGAAGGTCATTTTTCTTGAATGTGTCTGCTTCAGGATATCTTTCTTTCTTTCTCTCTCTGATCTCTCACACACACAAATATGCTCATTCATAAACACACAAATACAAAAGGATCTCTCTCTTTCTCTCTCTCTCTTCTCTCTCTCTCTCTCTCTCCATCTTCTAATTACTACTTTTATCTCTAACTTTGCTATTTGCTTAATTTTTTCACTCGTGCCTCCTCTGGAGTAAAGAAAAAAAAATTCAAAAACTTTACGCTTATTAAAAGCGTTTAGTCCTACAGTTATAATAAGGTAGACACAGCGCTTAGCGTAGAGTGATTGTGAGCGAGCTGATCTCGGAGCGTCTTAAGTTCGATTTTAAATCGGATTCCACGTTGTCTAGACCGTATGTGAAAAATAGGTTAGTTATATGTTACGAGCGCCGCCACTCCCCATAAAGAGTGAGCAAGTAATCTATTTGAGTATTTGATAACTAGTTTATTGCAACGAAAATTTACAGTTTGCTCCGGACCTCTTGAATAGAATGATGACTTGCGAGTTAGTCTTGCTTTTGTCAAGATATAGTAATTTATTTTTTCAATATTAAAATAAGCTCAGTAAATATACAAAGATACGTCTGGTGCTGAGCGAACAGGAGTAAGATATTCTTTCAGACCCTTGCGAGTTTAGGGACTTCTTATTTTATGTGGATAGTTTGTATAATACTAAACTATATATATATATATATATATATATATATATATATATATATATATATATATATATATATCGGAGAGAAGTTGCCAGCTATAATCTAAATTATTTTCAGATAGAGTGTATCTGTAAAGGAACAAAAAATAAATAAAAAAAAAGAACAAGAGGAAAAACTATTTTTACTCGATGCGTTTTTATCCCCAGAGGACGAAACGCGTCGGCTAAAATAGTATATATATATATATATATATATATATATATATATATATATATATATATATATATATATATATATATATATATATATATATATATATATATATATATATAGCACCAGGTTTCTGTATTCGGCCTTTCAAAAAAGTGTGGATGGTCTTGCACGAAACCTTCACCACTATAATCAAATCCCATGTGCTGTTGTCGGGCTGTCGGTTTCCTAGGAACTGATCTGCTTGACCCTCATACGTCGAATTCGACGGGAGAGTATATATATATATATATATATATATATATATATATATATATATATATATATATATATATATATATAAAACATATTGTTAAATTTAACAGACAATGAATGTCTATTTTGTCTGATCATGAGCCGTTCTAAACTTTGTATGGTTCCTTTAATTTCAGGTGAAAATAAAGGCAAAAGTTGTCTAATATTTGGATATTAATTATTAAGCTGATCTAAACTTTTGGCACACATAAGCTTTCTTCTAAGTGGTTATACGTACATTTAACCCCTCAACCAAAAGCTTAGATCAATATCTTCTTTGCTTTATAGTAGTTATTGGTCCGGACTTCGTGATGTCATTTGTGGCTGCGTGCCATTGGAGATCACTTTGTGTGGCACGCGTGCTGTAGGTTGCCGATCCCTGTTTCAAAATGTAAAATTTATACAATTATTGTGTTTCTGGTTCGTTCTAAATTCTTTTCGTTCTTTTTCACTTGCGTCTTTGTGTCATTTGCTTGGAGTGAATTGATGAAGAAAAAAAGCTGGTAGTAGGTTGCAGGTGGATCAAAATAAAATTATTAGACTGTCTGCAAACTAAGTTTTCCAAAATGTTATAACCCTTCATCCAACGTAGGCAATAATGGCTCTCCACGTATTCCACCTCTTTATAAACTGTGTTTTGCCATCTAATAAGTTAAGGGATATACAGGCCCAATACATGTAGGTTATTTGAAAATTAGCAAATGTGGACTGATTTGAGAATATGAAATTGTGCCATCTAACATTAAAACTGTTTACTGTAAACTATGCTACGTCGTTCTTTCTGGAAAAGTCTTACCGGTGGGAATTTTTCAACTTTAAAAATAGGATTAGAACTTAAATAAACGTGGAACAGAACAATCGTGCCGTGAAGAAATTTATTCGAAAAAACAATAAACATACTCCGCACTAAATAAGCATTGTTACTGATGTACGAACTGGTGGAAATAAATTAATCGATAGTTACTTGACAATCTCGATGAAAAAAGAGATTTGAAGCAACAGCAATATCGCTCTACAGAAGGGATGTTGAAAATACCATGGATTGAACAAGTTTCGGAGAAAATGAAAGAATAAAAGGACACATACTTAACATCTGGAACAAACTGTTTAAATTTCTGGGTCGCATAATGAGGAAAGAGGCCTTGGAAAATTTGATACTCACAAGGCAGTTTGAAGGCAAGAGCAACAAACGAAAAAATCGCATAACCAACCTAATTTCTAGGGGAAATAACAAAAAGACAAAATTTATTAAGAGCAATAGCACGAAGGACAGGAAATTGTGGAGAGCCATGATCGCCAACATCCTGTATGGAGACGGTACATAGAAAAAGACCACTTGTATTTATTACATAATAGTTTAAGAAGTTTTTTTATTGTTTTGGCTGCTCTAATATAAAACAAGAAAAATGGTTCACCAAGAAGGCAATACCCCAACATTTCCTTGTTTGAATTTAATTGTAATTTAATTTAGTTGTAATTTGAATTTGGGAAATAGATCAATTCGAGAACATGTCCACTCCGAGTTTAAACTAACCTTACTAAGAATTTAATATTTTGGTCTTCTTACAGGAATATTTAAAATGAATCCTAAAAAATAACGAAAAACGAATCCTTTTAAATATTTGTCCTATTCAAAATACTTGTGTAAATAAATATTTAAAAAAGTCGTCTGTATTAATGCCAATAAATCATTTGATTTACCGTATTTTCCGACTTACAGGAAACTGTGGCGTGGAAGACGCGCCCTAATACTGGAAAGAAATTTCTAAGAAAAAAAAAGGAATTCTCATACAACACATTGACCATGTGTCAGTCACATACTGGCCACACGTATTGTTTACATTAATCACGTGTCCGATTTTGTTTGTATAGCAATGACATACTAGTCAACATCAGAAAGGCTCCCGCCGCTGCTACTAAACAGAGCACGTTTAAGGTTGTGGCTCGGCTCCAGGAAGCTTTATAGTCTAGCAAATACTTGTAACAGCTAAGTACTGAGGTTACATTATATAAAAGGCTGAATTAGATAGATAGCTAACACTATAGTGTAATGACTCAACATACAGATCCACGACCCAATCAGTCAATTAGGTGACTGTCCAATACACACACACACACACACACACACACACACACACATATATATATATATATATATATATATATATATATATATATATATATATACGTTAAATTTAACAGACAATATATACCTGTTTAATTTTAAGTTTAAGGATCAATCTTTTAGGAAAACTGTCCAAAGATCACATTTTTTATCAAGTACTATTGACGGCTTGTCCTTATCAAAACAGAAACAAAACATAAATTTGAACAGTTTATTCCCAATTTTGAGCTTGATGTACCATATTTTATTAGAAAATTAGAAAATCCATAAAAATTAAACAGACATTGTCAGTTGAATTTAAACTTGTTTGAAGTAATTATTTGCTACTTATTATATCATTTATATATATATATATATATATATATATATATATATATATATATATATATATATATATTCAACTAAGTTGGTGTGGCCAACAGAAAACATGCTGGAAGACCTAACATAATATATAAGAAAAAACAGGGTTGGGAAAAGAGAGAAACCCAGAAGGAAAAATCTACCTATTCAGTAAAATGTTCAGCGCCCAGAATCCTTAGAATATATATATATATATATATATATATATATATATATATATATATATATATATATATATATATATATATATATCACAAAATGTAATTTTTAAGACATGCAATATGTATTGCAAAAAAGTGCTCAGTATCAGGGATAGTTCTATGGCCTGAAGATTGTGT